GAATTATATTATATTATTAAACAAGGAATCTTTCCATTTTCCATTACAACTCCTTTGACCTTGATAATCACCTCAGATGTTTTCTCTGTTTACAGGTGTATCTCACCTGGCCTGTACCAAACTGTGCTGAGGGCTGCCCAGGATCCTGGATCAAAGACGGCTACTGCGACAAGGCCTGCAACAACTCTGCATGTGATTGGGATGGAGGAGACTGTGAAGGTACTTTGACCCAAAATAAAAATTCTGTCATTATTCACTCAATGTTTAATTTCATGAACCAATTGCATGTTTCTGATCCCATCTTTATTTCTGTTTCATAATTTCTTGATTTGTTTTCCTTGCAGGTACTGCAGGCAGCAGTCGTTTCGGAGGAGCGGGCGGTGCTGTGATCGGAGGCGGGCAGCCTTGGCAGTTCGGAGGTGGTCTCGGAGGACTGGGAGGCTTGTCCTTCTGTAACCAAGGCTGTGCTAACTCTTGGTTGGCAGATAAGTTCTGTGACCAGGCATGCAACGTTATTGCTTGTGGGTTCGATGTGGGTGACTGCGGACAAGGTGAGTCTTGACCAGTTGTTCTCAACAATTTTGACCTGAAAGTCTCCCCACTCTGTAACACAATAGGCCCATCATATATATATATATAAATAAAACAGAACTGTCAAAGGTGTAGAATTTATTAGGAACTTTCAGAATCATCATTGGTCCAATTAATTTTTAATATTAAAAAGTGATGTGCAATGTCATTAAGAAGCCTCCCATGACATGAAAATTGCAGTCAATCAAATTTAATGGGCTGTTTTTTGTCCCCACCAAAGCCACAAACCTGATAAGAATAAATTTAACTAAATTAAATGAACAAAAGAAAGATGAGGTGTGCATACACTTTGCACAAGGCTAAACATATGAGCCTAAACATATCTTTTTCATTAAAATGAATAGCACTGGATGGGTTCACAGTGTACTGTTATGGACACTTTAATGTTGAACTCCGCATTCCCTGGCCCCCTGTTTGAGAACCACTTGAGTATTTCTGATTAAATCTAGTAGTAATTGATTTAACAAATTTTCTGTTTGTTTGTGCATTTCTAAGATAATTTCAACCAACTGCACCGTGTCGTCCTCTGGAGGAACCAGACGCTTTACACCCTGCCTCAGGGAGAGCTCCGACCGTATTTTAGCTTCTCGGGCCTGGCTAACCGCGTGTCCGAGGCACAGGTTGCAGATAACCCAGTGCTCCGTCACACTTCTGTCGCCAACAAATGGAAGACCATCCACCTGCTGCTGCTGCCCAGACACAATGCCACCCAGATCCACTACAACATCACCTTTCAGGGTGCCAACAACCACGACTTCACCATGACTTTCTCTGTAGCCGTGGATACCCGAGAGCTCCCCAAATCAAACATATCCAATCCGGTGCGGGAGAAAGACGAGGAGCCCAGACCGACCATAGTGACCCCAGAACCAGTGGTTGAGTTGGAAAATGTTCCCAAAGAAAAACAAGGCCCGAGAGTTAGAGAGAAAGCCCATGGCGGTGTAGAGATTATGCAGGTGCCTGCATTAAATGAATCTCTTTTGCCTGAGGAAGTGAAGCTTGAGTTAGAGAAACTGAACGAGAAGCTATCATTAGGTGACATCACTATTAAAGGCTTTAATTTGACCAAAGCAGTGCTGTTGGGCCCGTTCAAAGACAAAGCTAAGCTTTCACTAAACAATAAAAACTCTGAAAAACAAGACCAGAACAAGCCAGCAAAACACTCGAATGAAGACCAGAAATATCCTTTAATCAGTCAATATCAGGCCGAAAGAGCAGCAAGGGTGAAAAGAGCAAATGAAGAAGAGGAAAGAGATAATAATTCTAAATTGGAGCCAGCTGTTGCTCCATCTCTTGTCCCAATCCAGATTGATGGTGTTACACCAAAGGTTCAATCAAGATTGTTCGGCAAAGAGAAATCCCACGCATCTAAGCTTCTCGGCACCCTGATGGGAAACATGTCTAAGGAGAGAGATTCAGAAAATGAAGTCCACCTCCGCGGGCGGCCAGTGGGTCGTAAACTCCAGTATTACAC